GTAACCTTCCAATGTTCCAAAATAGGGGCCACACCCTAAATACATGTGTCTTTTGGGACTATTCTAGATCCAAATTACAGTAGAATGAGTTTAAAAAATGATTTTATCTTCATAGATAAAAGGTACATAAGGGTACACAATTTTGTTTGTGGGAGGGACTGGATTAGATTTTCTTTCTTTTTCTTTTCCCCCCAAAATGTATGCAATAAATTTAATTAATCTTTAGGGAAGAAACCATGCTTCATATTTATCATCTGTTTCACAGATAAAAGACCAAGGGTTAAATAAAGTGCATTTTGTTTATAGCAATATCATAAGCAGTTTCTCAGTTCTTAATCTTATTTTAATTCTATCTTAATATTACCTTAGTCTTATATATTTAAAGTTAAATTCAAATATAATATGGCCCCTTTTGTTTTTTGATAAAATGAAATATAGTAATATAAAACAAAACCGTCATATCAAGACTGGACCAGACACCAATGAAAGAAAAAGAGAAACAAGCAGGCACAAAAATCAGAGATTCACTCATTTACACACTTAGCAGTCCCATAAAATTACCAAACTAAAAGCTATAATATATACTCAGAGGACCTGGGCAGATTCATGCAGGCCCTATATTTGCTGTTTCAGTTTCCATGTGTTGTAAGGAGGCTTCTTGTTTGTCCCAGTCACCCAGAACTGAAATAACCATACAGAAACTGTATTAATTAAATTATTGCTTGGCCCATTAGCTCTAGATTCTTATTGGCTAACTCTTACATATTAATTTAACCCATTTCTATTAATCTGTGTATTGTCATGTGGCTGTGGATTACTGGTTAAAGTTCTGGTGTCTGTTTCCAGTGTGGCTACATGGCTTCTCTCTGACTCTGCTTTCTTCCTCCCAGCATTCAGTTTAGTTTTCTTCACTTACCTAAGTTCTGCCCTGCTCTGCTATAGGCTCAAAGCAGTTTCTTTATTCGTCAATGGTATTCACAGCATATAGAGGGGAATCCCACATCACCTTCCCTTTTCTGTTTAAATAAAAGGAAAGTTTTAACTTTAAAATAGTAAAATTACATGTAACAAACAGTTATTAAGCAAGAGTTGCAGTTATAATATTAATATCTACTTTTTATTTATTCTTCAACTTCATCAAAGACTCCAGAAGGATATAATATTACCTAAGCAAACAGTAAGTGCATTGTAATCAAGTTCCAAAACTTTAGAAATTACAGAGACATTCTTGCTGCCTGGACAGTCACCCAAAGTTCTTCTGTAATGTTGGAGCATCCATCTTCAGCCTACAGGCCCATTAGTATCCAGTAGACTTTTCCAAGAAGCAGGAAATTTCAAAGACAGTTTTGCCTATATTGACAGCTTGCAAGTTACTTTCTTCTGTGTCCTGCAGAATGTCTAGTACACTCTTTCATGAAGCTGGAACCCTGAAGGATTGTCTCACCTTTATGTAAGTTCAGGAGTCATTTCTCTGTGGGTTCTGCATGTACAGTTCATACAGCATAACATCAAGCAGTCCAGGCAAGAGAAGTCTCTTGCCCAAATGGCTAACAAATTCCATAAGCCTCTTCGATGTCCATCTTCCTCTTGAAATAGATTGGTGCTGCCAGGAGCAGTTGTGTCTCATTGTCATGAAAAATCCTAAGTTCTTAAAACATTTTAAATGCGGTATTCTGTAGGTCTCTGAAAGATTTGAAGAATATCTAACTGAAATATATCTCTATATATCTAGAAAACCCAATGAACATGACTACAAGCTTTACTATTATATATGACTCTCTATTAACCTATATTTCTTAATTATATTCTTCACTTTTAAATGATCTGCCAAACAGAATACCTTAATCAAGAGTAGAAACATATATCTATATCTAAATCTATCTATCTATCTATCTATCTATCTATCTATCTATCTATCTATCTACAGTATAATAAGATTGACCTTAAATTTGTATCGATAAACCAAGATCCATACCAATTCAAATCCCTATAGCATATCCCCCTTTAAATGCAAAGAAACATTTACAAACAATATTTGGGAATATGGGCACAGTTCTCTCCAAAGTGCTTCCTGCTGTTTGTTGGTCAAAATAATTTTTGGGGGTGTTCACAGAAACCTTTTGGGGATTCTTTGTCCATCAAACCACATTAGTCTGGAATTAATCTACTGGTTCTCATCCTCTATGGAAACAAAAGAAGAATCTCTTTTCCAAAGAATATATCCTTAGACACATATTTTGAATTCAAGATACCTTTAAAATATATTTGCTGGTTTAACTTAGAAGCCCATACAATGAAATGTCTCTCTGTACTTAGCTCCTTCACAGTCAAAAAATTAAAAGAAAACACAATAATATACATAATCCAGACTCTGTGTACAGTCCATCTTTATGTGGCTTATTTTTTCCTCTATTACTTTTTAATATTTATTTTATTATCATTACTCCTTTAATCTATGACTGTCTGTACTCTGTCTCTTTAAAGGTTTTGTTTTTTTAACTGTCTATACTTTTTTCTTTTCTCTCCCAAGCCTACATACATTTATCCAATACTATGACCCATTTAGAGATTTTTTTCCATTTGGATTTGTCTTTATTGTGTATTTATAATTATTTTCTCACAAGGACTGAAACCAAAAAGCATGCAGTCAGATTTTCATCAACACTATTTAAGCGTTTCTTGGCAGAACCTCTTAAAAGAGCTACAAGGTTTTGCAGCTAAAGCTGAATTGGAAGGCTCTATTAAATGAGAGCGCTTGCCACTAGCGAGCAGAGCCCATCTGAGAAAATGCTGCTATCAATAAGCATGCTTAACTCTATTTTTTTTCTATCTAGAATTACTTCCCAAGCTCTGTGAGGCTTTATGTAGATGCAGTCATCCATATGTTAGGCACCATTTGTTGTCTGAGGTTTCTGTCCTGCCTGGTTCCTACAGTCGTTAAGTCCCAAAGAAATCACACAGAGGTCTACATTAATCATAAACTGATTGACCCATTAGCTCAGGCTTCTTATTAACTGTTATAACTAACTTTAGCTCATTATTCTTATCTGTGATAGCCACATGGCTCAGTACCTTTTTCAGCGGCGTAGTCACATCTTGCTGCTTCTGTGTCTGAACAGGACTGCAGAGGAATGGACTTCCTCCTTCCCAGAATTCTCCTGTTCTCCTTGACCCACCTCTACTTCCTGTCTGGTTGTCCCACCTATACTTCCTGCCTGGCTACTGGCCAATCAGCATTTATTTAAAATATAATTGACAGAATACAGACCATGGTCCCACACCAAGGAAGTGAGGTCAGTCTCCCAGGACTCATGAAAAAGTTGGGTGCATAAATACATACTTATAATCCCAGTTCTGGGAAAACAGAGACAGAATGGCCTCTGGGGATGGCTAGCCAGCCAGTCTAGATGAATTAGCAATGTCCAGGTTCAATGAGAGATTATGTCTCAAAATATAAGTGAAGAGAGACTGAGGGAGACATTTGATATTTGATATCAATCTCTTACTTGCACACATATGTCCATGCACCTCACCTTTCCATAAATTTGGTCCTTCAGTGGTTCTCTTAGATTTTTTAGATTTTGTTTATATATTCTGAATTTTATAGTTTGAAGGCTCCATTTCATCTTCCTTATCTTCAACTTCTCAGTCTTTCTTCCACCTTACTCATTAGTGAGATTTTGTTAATTAAAAATTAATTTATTAAAGGTTTTATTACCAAAATTTTAATTTGAATCTAAATTTCTCTTCACTAAGTCCATTTTTATATCCTGTATTGGCTCCCTTTTGTCATTTAGCTCTTTTTTTATAGTCTCTTCAAATTATTTCAGGGGTTTATAAATATCCTCTTAGATTTTTCTCAACATTTTTCTTGAAATTTTTTTCCCTAAACATTCTTATAATAGTTCTTTTGAGTTCTTTGTCTGGGACTTAATAAAACACATTATCAAAGTCATTGTAGAACTGATAATTTTGGAGGTACCCTGTTGCTCCCTCCCCTGATCTCTTGTGGTACTAAATTTGTGTTCCATGATGGAAAAGAAAGGGAATCATGAGGACCTGTCCCTAACTAAGGAGTTTTGGGAGTTGTTGACTGCTGGGGGAGACAGAATCATTCCTTTTCAGGCATGTGGCCACTGGTAGGTTGCCCATGCTCCTACAAATGGCCCCATACCAATGCACATACTGGCAGCATTAATTGGACTTAGTGGTTTAATAAAAAAGAAAGAAAAGGAGTTCATACTGGGAGCAGGTCACATTGGTGGGGGATTAGAGGAGAGTTCGAAGAGTAAAATGTGTGTGTGTGTGTGTGTGTGTGTGTGTGTGTGTGTGTGTGTGTGTAAATACTAAATGAATATAGTGTTTGAATCCAGGCCAAACTCTTAAGGCCCCCAATACCTGAAGCAGCCCTTTTTCTCTTACAGATGCTGGAAGGTAACTCACTAAGAGCACCATCTATGAATATTTAGCTAACAGATTTCTAATAGAAATGAACTCATATCAGAGGAGGTACTGGTGACCACATATCCTGCCCCTTATCTTTTCCACAGCCTCCTGCCTGGGAATTAGAGAGTCCAGATTCAGACTTGTGCTTGTGAGTGCCATCCCTTTGTCAGAGAGAACTACATCTTTCTCAGAGAGTTGTAATAAGGGACCTAGAATCTACAACATGGGCCCTAATATCCTCATTAGAGATACTGACATGCTGTCTGTCTCTGGTGCTAGGGCTTGAACTCCTCTCAGAGCCCATGTCATGGTATTTCTGCCAGCTGCTCTGTCCGTGATGTTAATAACTCTTCTAATCAACTACTTGACCTCCATATTTGTCTCAGTGTCCCTCTTAAACCCACATCTGAGACCTTTGATATATGACCATATTTATATGTATACATGACATTCTCAAGAATAAATAAAAAACAATATGAGTCTTATTTCTGAAAAAAAATGTAGTCATTACCTTAGATGATGTTTAGTTACTACCTTAGATATGTTTTCTGATTTCACTGAATTGCTATTTGTGGGGATCCTGATATGGTCCCTTTGCCCAGAAACACCATCTTCCTGAGGAGTCTTCCCAAAGCCTTCTGCATATCTTTGTTCCTCAGGCTGTAGATGAAGGGGTTCAACATGGGAGTGACCACAGTGTACATTAATGAGGCAATCAGATTCATTCTAGAAGATGATGTGGCTGCAGAGCTGAGGTAGACTCCAAGACCATTGCTGTAGAACAAGAAGACCACCAAGAGGTGAGACCCACAGATGGAAAAGGCTTTGTACTTGCCTCCAGCTGAGGGAATTCTTAGAATGGAGGAAACAATCTGAGAATAAGACAAGAGAATCCCAGAGAAAGGGAAACCAGCCATGACTATAGTTATAGAATACACCACAATGTTATTGACAAGGGTGTCAGAACATGCCAGCTTCAGGACTTCAGGAAGATCACAGAAAAAGTGGGGGATTTCCATGTTTGTACAGAAAGATAGTCTTAACACAGTCAAGGTCTCAGGCAGGGAACTCATGACACTGATTAACCAGGACCCAAGAGCCAGTATCACACAGAAGAAAGAATTCATGATGACGACATAGTGCAGGGGATGGCAGATGGCCACGAAGCGGTCATAGGCCATCACTGTTAGGAGTAAATTATCCAGACATCCAAACACAATGAAAAAAAATATCTGTGTGATGCAGCCTGTGAAGGAGATGAGTTTGCTTTGGGTGTGGATATTCAGTAGAGTCTTTGGGATGGTGGTGGAGGTGAAGCCGATGTCAGCTAAGGACAAGTTGGAGAGGAAGAAGTACATGGGCATGTGCAGGTGGGGGTCAAATATGATGGCCAAGATGATGAGCAGGTTGCCTGTGATGGTGACAAGGTACATGGAGAGAAGCAACCCAAAGAAGAAGGATTGCAGGTCAGAGTCTTCGGTGAATCCCAGGAGGAGAAAGTTTCTACCTCCTGTTTGGTTTTCTCTTTCCATAGGACTGCTGGATTATCTAAAAGGAGGAAAAAACACAATATAAATTCATCTCAAGTGGATTCTGCTAAATAATGGCAATATATTTTATTAAAACCCAAGTATTAGCTGAGCACTGTGGCACATGCCTTTAACTCCAGCACTTGGAAGGAATAGGCAGAAGGATTTTTGTGAGTTCAAGGCCAGCCTAGTCTACATAAAGAGTTCTAGAACAGCCAGGGTTATGTAAAGAGATCCTGTCTCAAAACACCAAACCCCTCGTGGTCCTGACTTCCTTGTTCATGTTCTCCCTCCTTCTGCTCTTCATTTGGACTTTGGGAGCTCAGTCCAGTGCTCCAATGTGGGTCTCTGTCTCTATCTCCATCCATCACCAGATGAAGGTTCTATGGTGATATGCAAGATATTCATCAGTGTGGCTATGGGATAAGGCCAGTTCCCACAGAGACGGTGGGACTGATCTAATGGAAGCTCACCAAGGCCAGCTGGACTGGGACTGAATGAGCATGTGATCAAACCGGACTCTCTGAATGTAGCTGACAATGAGGGCTGACTGAGAAGCCAAGGACAATGGCACTGGGTTTTGATTCTACTGCATGTACTGGCTTTGTGGGAGCCTAGTCTGTTTGGATGCTCACCTTCCTAGACCTGGATGGAGGAGGGAGGACCTTGGACTTCCCACAGGGCAGGGAACCCTGACTGCTCTTAGGACTGGAGAGGGAGAGGGAGGGAGAGTCGGGGGAGGGGGAAACTTTTAATAAATAAATAAATAAATAAACCACTAAACCCTAAAAACAAAACAAAAAACTCACCTCTCCAAAACAAACAAACAAAAAGCAAAACCAAAAATCCCTAAGGTACTATGCTGGTGAGCTGACTCAGTGTGTAAAGTCTCTTTCCATCAGGGCTGATAACCTGCTTTTGATTTCTGGTGTATGCATGGTGTAAGGAGACACCCAAATCCTTCATTTTGTCATCCAACCTTTATACGTGGGCCATGGCACACATGTGCATTCACACACACAGAATAAATAAATGTAAGGGCTGGAGAGATGGCTCAGCAGTTAAGGGCTCATACTGCTTTTTCAGAGGACCTGGATTAGTTCCCAGTATCCAGGTGGAGCAACTCAAAACCACTAGTTCTAGGAGATCTGATGCCCTCTTCGGGTTTCAGCCAGTACTTGCACTCATGTACAAACACACATGCACATATCCAAAAATATGAATAATTAAAATAACTATAAAAATCTTTAAAATAAATATAATAAAAATTTAAAAGAAACAAGAAAACAAAATTTATGGAGTCATTCAGTCATTTTTTGTGAGTAATCATTTAATCTCTGTCTGGTAATTTGTTGTTACCATAGTCACCTAAATTATTTGGCTGCAGATGACTGGGTCTCAGTGTTGTTCTCTGGAACAGCAACGTCAGCATCACTCTGACGGCTATTAGAAATGGGCGTTTGGAAGCCATTCATACCAACGGAGTCCTACACATTTTGTGGAACCAGTGATCTCATCTGTGCTTCACCAAGCCCTCTGGGAAACTCTGATGTCCACATGCATATGAAGACCACAGCTGTGGTGTGCCTAAGCAACCAGACCTCATCAGCATCCCTGATGGCAACTTTGGTGTGTTCTGTCTAATGAAAGTGTGAATGGAAATTTTCTGAGTATGTACTGATTTGTAGTCATTGGAAATCTTTGTTTTATTATAGTGCTTTCTCTGGTCCTTATATGAACCTGATCACAGTTGTTAATACCCACTTTTCATGTAGTCATTGTCTAGATTTCCTTTATTTATGCAAATTATATACAAATTCTATGACATGCAATTTCTCTCTCTCTCTCTCTCTCTCTTGAGATAGGGTTTCTCTGTGTTGCTTTGGAGCCAGTCTTGGTCTTGGAACTGGCTCTTGTAGACCAGGCTGTCCTCCAACTCACAGAGATCTGCATGCCTCTGCCTCCTGAGTGCTGGGATTAAAGGTGTGAGCCACCACCACCCATCTGAAATGTAGTTTCTAAGCATGAAGAATTCAGAGTTTCCAGAGTTTCTATGTCTTAAATTAATTTTCCATTATCTCACTTTTCTGCCAGTGTTGGGAGGAAGCTTCTAGACATTGTTGTGGCATCACTGAGTTACTTCCTCAGCCCCTGATTATCATTACATGAACGTGTTCTATGTGTAAGCTGTTCAGTAAATCCTGTCCATTTGATCATTTACATCAGTTCCCAATTTTTATATATTACAAATACAGTTTAGATTCATTTGATTTTTAATTTTCTTTTCTTATGACAATTTGTGGGAGCATCCTGTGAGTTCTTAAAAGTTCATAAATACAAAGTCTAATAAAAATAAAATAAATTTAAAAAGTACATGTACTGTTTTTCACCTTCTTATCAGTAAATTACTCTAAATAATATCACACACACACACACACACACACACACACACACACACACACACACCTTAACAGTGAGTTGGTTGTCAAATATCTTTGTATAAATAAGAATTTCGGGCCAGGCAGATCTGCTGCTCACTCACCTAGAGCCAGAGTCTGCTTCACAGTTAGCTTTTCCCACTTTGGATGGAGAGGAGGATGTGGCAGGGAAGATCATAGACCAATGACAAGACTTACCTGGGAGTTTTCCCCATGTCCCAGATCAGGAGTGGGCTCCAGTCCAGTCTAGTGACAGGGCAAACAGAACGTGTCAAGGGATGGTAGTCAGTCCCCATGTAGAACTGATGTATGAGACACCATACTCTCCAGCCTCACAACCATCTGATATCCATATCTTTGGAGGGTCAGGAGGAGGGTTATGCCTAAGAGTTTGTGAGGCACAGGCTGGATGGTGCCAGAAAATAAAAGAAAAAAAGAGTTTGGGGGGGGGCCAGAAGGTGTCTCAGTAAGTAAAGACACTTGTCACCACGCCTGATGTCCTAGGTCAAACACTGAGACCTGAGAGGCAGAAGGAGAGAGCAAGTTCCTGCAAGTTGTCCTCTGAAAAATAGTCTATTTATTGGATTCTATCAAATTTATAAGTTAATTCTGAAAAAGTTGGTATTATTATTGTGTCAAAATTCTTGTTGAAGTAACAGATAGCTCTCTTTTGAAATCATTCTCTTTCTTATCAAAATTTTCTGACAGTTTTTTAACATGCAAAATGATATTTATTACTCATTAATAGTGTTTTAGTGTAGTTCAAGGTTGATATTATGAATGATATTCTTCTATGATGTATCTCTACTTGTGCAACAAAACAGAATTTAATAACAATAATAATGATAATAAAAATAAAATCTACCTTTTTTGATGAGGTGTATTTGTTTCTGGACTTTCTTATTAATTTATTAGTTTTTGTTGAAATTTATCACATTCAGGGTAGAGATGACTCAGTAGTTAAGAGCACACTCTGCTCTTTCAGAGGATGGGGTTTGGTCTCCTGCCTTTATGTATATAAGCCTACAACTGTGGAAATCCAATACTTTTTTTTTGACTTCACAGGCAACACACACACACACACACACACACACACACACACACACACACTACACTCCTCACAAAAGTTCTAGGCAAAATGTATCACATTCTATGCATTGAACCATCATCATATTTCCTTCAGGTACTATTCTATTTACTTAAAATTCCAAGAACCTTGTCAAAATTTATTATGAGAGATAGAGTTGCTAGTTTCCTTCTCTATTTCTTTCAGAAGTTGAACAATATCACATGATGTTCACTTTCAGGTTAAACTATATCATAAGTAATTTTTATCACATATATTCACATTTTCACAAATATTTTAGAAAGTGTTAGTAAAAGTATGACTAAGTGTTCACAGATGGCTATTTAGATGATATGATGCTAAATCTGATTCCATATTCTCAAATAGTCTCCAAACGTTAGATGTAGAACAGGCTGATGACAAGGTCTTTTAGGAAAACATGAATATATAAATGCTATAAACATAAACATGAACATGCATAATCTTTGAGAATAGAAATCCTTGATAGATAAAAGAGAAGTAACTTTCAGTAGTCAGAATGATAAACTGAAGAATTACAATTGAGGAAATGTACAGATATTTCCCATCTCAAAATCACCTAGCTGGTTGATATTTGATTAATATTACAAAGCTAATTTGTTTTGTGTATAAAACCTTAATTGTAAGTCATAGAATCATCAGTATCTCATTGGGAAAAGGATAGAGAAGATTAAGTACTCATAAAAGGAAATGTAAAATTAGTGATAAATATTTGAATCTTGTCTTTGTGTGTGAATGTGCAGGTCCCTGTGTGTTATGTTGCATATGTGGTTGTCAGTCTTGGTCTTACATTTTGTTGAGTCAGGGTGTGTTACTTGCTGCTTCATATACAAGGCTAGCACGACTGTAAGCTCCCTGGAATTCTCCTCACTCTACCTCCCATCTTAGAGTAGAAGATTCAATTCTAGACCACTCTATTGTCAGGTATTGACATGTGTTATGGGATTCTGAACTCACGTTCTTAAGATTATGTGGCAGGTACTTATCAACCAAGCCATCTAACCAGACACTGACATTTTTGATAGAGAATGAAACAACTTAATGTCTTCAGAAAAATGACACAGATGCTTGGGAAAGAACTCTAAGAGATGGAGAGAGCTAAGAGAAGATTAATTTGCATCAGAAAGGTGAGAGATATCTGAATTAGATTTTATAAATGGGAGGAGTGAGATGAAGCTGAGAGGAAGAGTGATTGAGAAAAACAGAGGAGCTAATTTATGGAACACTTTAAGTGAACAGATACTCCTCACCGCACTGCACTGTTTTGAGTCCCAAACTTCACCCATTGAGAACACTAGCTCTTCTTATACCTGCTTCCCATCAGGAGCTCCAGTGGTGGTGTGCTGTCTGCATTCTCTTTTTTTCCCTGGGTGGAAGGGGTTCAACTAAACTCCAAGGCAAGACAAGGAGGTGATATCAAGTCCCATTTGAAGGAACAGTTGAACTCACTGATCCCTTGA